AGATTGACCAACAAAATGACCTTTATGATCATGTAATACCATACTTTTGCCCCGTCCCGACTACGATCTGAGAAATATTGCCTGGTTGATTGCGTGATTAAATTGGCAAACGCTTCAAACTGGTTTACTGAAGTTTGAAGTACAGCAGAGTGTATAGGCTTGGGTTGCTTGAAGCGTGACATTGCGCTTAACTCGCAACGAGTGAAGTTTACAAGCCCTAGTTAGACAACTATCGTCGCAGCAAGTGAGTATGAATGGGAGATCACTGTTTTTCGCCAAGATCATTCATGCTTGCATGGTTGATCGATCGAGAATGAACGAACACCAATACAACTGACCTTGGTCGGTCGGGTAAAACGTGTGAGTCGTGACACGATGGGTCGACGATAAAATTCTAACCATGATCAGGCGTTCACGTGACCTTGAACCGTTGAAGAGGCTGACTTGGCCTCGGCCCTGAAAGACTTCCACTGAGGCCGTGGTTGTTTCGAGTTTCACTGTTTGATTTGGTTCCGATAAAAATTTTGAGCAGTGAAAGATTAAACTAACAAGGAAATTGACATTGGCACTTAAGTGGCCGTTCTTTTTTCACCATGTATTAAATATTGTCCATAGGATTTACGATACGTATTCAGCTACCGTAATTGGCTGCCAACTTTGTGATAGCAACTACAACCGTATTGTCTGAGGGGAAGTTCAGATTCAATTGACATAATTGAGTGTTTTTATGCTTTCAGCGCAAATAGAAGGCGACTGCTTGTTTGTTATCCACGTAAAAAAGGTAAAGCAGTTATCTGTCACAGAAGTCTGGTCCGAAAGGTAATAGTAAAGAGAGCTTCCGGCGTTTCTCATCGTGCAAAATAGTTTAGAGTTGATGTAACAGTGATGCAAAACGCGATGGTGGACTAGACATCGGTCTGAGGAAACAGGCTTGACTTTCAACCCCCAACACATGAATTTGTTTCAGAATATTGAGCGAAACCAGTTTATAACGGTTCCCACAAGCTGTTCAGTAA